TGCTCACCATCTTCTCCATAGATCCACAAATCTTTACCAATGTAAGTGCTGTATGATGTGCTGAAAGCTTATGACAGTACAGAAATCAACCAAAGCAGTGTCATACATACATCGCATTCCTAAACATTCACTTTTAAATATATTAAACCTAACAGCCAACGTCAACGATTGTCTTTTCGTGGGATTGTTTTATATGTCAAATGCTGAATCCCTGTTCTCTATATCCTTAATGACAGTCTGTTAATTATTTATACACCAAAAACTGATTCAGTTAAGTCAGCACGGGCCAAATCAATAGTAAAGTGCCCATGGTCACGTGACATTGCTCTTTATGATGGGCGACTTTATCATCATTAAAACACAACGCTTCCTGTTCGACTGGCAAGTCATTTGAACATTTATTCATTTAAACTAGAACTATATAACTAGCATTTATTTTAGCATTTAATTTTTTCATTATTCAGTATTCATTAGATTCTAGTACTTGTTAATAGAATAGACAAGACAACATCAATAGACAAGACAGTCCATATACTAGTACTTATTTCTTTGCTACTTCTTGGTTCAGAAATCAAGTATTTACTTCCATCTGTGTGTTCCTATTATTGCTGCTACCAGTTTTACTATTCATTAGGAAGTAGAACTTATTTCTTAGTTACAAGAAACAATAGAATAACTTATAGTGTATAATAAATAGTTAATAGCAAAATAGTCACAATTGGACCACTCACTCATAATTATAATTAAGTATTTTAAAAAAATATATATATATTATTAGAAACATAAAAATAGATACAAGTTAATGAATAATTATTAAAACAGCTTGCCATATATGCATTAGGTACAGCAACAAAGTATTATTCTTTTTTTTTTTCTTTTTTTTTTACAGTTAGACAAAAGAAACGACATGCGTTTTAAGTTACACGCTGGTTGTGTCCAACCTCCAAGTCTCCTTCCTGGGATAGTGTAGAGACGCCTCAGCTCAAGGTGATACATCAGATAGACAGGCCCTGACAATACACACAATGACCTTAACAAAACTCCTGCATTTTCTTCCCTATAGACTACGCTGTTCTGCCAGCACTGGTTACAGAAAAAATATGCTGTTTAATGGTACGCCCTCCGCTTTCCGATTGCTCCAAGTTAAACACCTACACATTAAAACCAAAATAACCGATGCCATTCGACAGGTTATAGGCTACTTACGTGCCTTCAAGCAAAGTCATTGCCTACTCTCATATCTGGTCAAATGTAGGCTACGTTCCGGTACCAGCGCAAAGGTATTCCTTATTATCAGGCAAGAATAAGTGTCGTCTGTATTTAGGAAGCCAACACAAATCCACTGCCGTCGAATGCAGGTTCTCGGCGGCGCTGTCCGTTCAGCACCGCTCAGCGCGAGCTCACGCTTGTCCTCTAGGTTACGTGATGGGGGGGGATCACAGATGCTGCCTCAAGCCATGATGAAACATCCCGACTAAAGCGACTTTTCCGTATTTGATGTCCTTAACTAAATGATATGGAAAGTGAATGTTCGGCCTCTGGCACTGTACATCGAGGGGAGGGGAGCAGCACAGCTGTCACGAGGACGAACCTCGCCGGCCTATCCCGTGTGGAGAATAAAAGCCTTTTATATTTCAACACACATAAACACCGATATGTCCTTGCTTGATTAAATGCATCTCATATTTTACCTTTGTTATATTTCTTTGGTTACACTAAAACATGCAGCTTATTCAGAAGAACGGTCTTTGCCATTTTAAAGCAAATATAGCCTAATTTACAAAGAATATGCGATCGCAAAAACAATTCAATTGATTCATACTTCCGCCCATTTTGGCCCCTCACACATGTATTATGGAATTTCTCCTCCTAACAAGCTTTGCGCGTCTTAAGGCGCTACATGTTATGGGATTCACAGATTAGTATGCTCAAGTTTGTTTGCGGTAATTATGGCATCTGGACGTACACGCGTGGGCCCCACTCTCTCGACTGAAATACTGCAGTGGAGCTGAAGGGAGCTCGTGCAAAGGCACGAGGCAGCGAATCAATCTGTGAAACATCTAAATCTCAACGCCACTGACGTCTCAGACAGTCGTGCCTGCAATGTTTTACACGTCTCGAGTTTCTATCTCACTAGGTTCCGATTTCATTCTCATCTGAACACTTCAAGAACATTTGGGACTCCTGTCCGCTTCAGCACCACACCCGTGCAGTCAGACCGTCCTCTCTGTCATTTAACCCGCAACCGCGCAAACGGTCGGGCACAGCATGCCGCTAACGCATTAGGGAGGAGTGAGTGAGAAAACAAGGGTGGTAGTCGCTGTTTTTAACGGAAAAAACGGAAACACACCGATTCTAGAGAGTCCAGCCCAATGAAGTATGGCGAGGGTGACTCGAAGGGAGGGGGAATGCAGGCGCAGGGGGACTAAAAACTGCCACATTAGTGATTTTGACATGTTACGTTGCAAAATACTGTCATATATGTAGTCTGAATGCTGAATACTGCGTCTTGCGTCAGTCTGTCCGCACAATATTCCTCTGCAATAAAGTTTGCTGCGGTCTTACTTGCCTGTCCCATGGTATGCGTATGTTCTACATTTCGACACAGACTAATGTTATGTTTCCAGCGCCAGGCCAACACCCTAATTTACCTCAGTCAGACTTTTAGCCTTTGCATTGCCTCTATTTGACCAGCACTATAGCTGTTAAGTAGTGCCTGGCGTGTTAATTGGCGTTTCCCTGTGTTTCCTGCAGCAAGCCTATCCACATCTGTGAGCAGAAAAGATGCTGAGCGCGAGAGACCGCTCTGCGGCAGATGAGTCCAGGTATGAGACACGCTCAGAACGGGCTATAAACACCTGAAAAAAGCACGACACTTGCGCTGTAGACAAGAGAAAGTCTACTTACTTTTTCCGCATTAAGAGCGATCCATGTAGATCTTGCGTGCCTAAGGATGTTTAAAAGACCCAGGAGAAACTGCGGATGTCGCCATATTGTTGCCGCTATCTTCCTTCCCAGTGCGTACGGCTAGCCTGCATAATTGATGACTCTCAGCAAATTGTTAGGGAGCGTCTACAAGTACCCTACTTCCGACTTCCGTACTGACGGGGGGAACGCTGCAACGTAAGCGAAACAGCGCTAAAAGTGGATATCAATCACAATGATGCGAGTCTAATTATATTTACCACTTCTCTGTAAAATTAATCTAATCTGCTATTTTCTGTCTCAACAATTGTCAAATTGTTTCAAATTTAATTGTTAAAATGGAATTCACACAGTTAAATAATTAAATTAAAATAAATAAATTTTATTTTAAAGAATAGGCTACAAGACTTGAATGGCCCAGCTATTTTGCACAGCACGAACAATTTAAATTTATGGGTTTTTTTATATATTTTTTTAAGAAGTTCTATAGAGCATTGAACAATACACACAATATGCATTTATGAAAGTAAGCATATCATCATATGGCACTGTGGAACTGATGAATCAAAGAGAAGAGAAAATGCTTGACTTTCAAATTAAATAGTGATATTTCTACTTTGGCACACACAAGTTACATTTCAATCTCTTTACAATGGTTACCCTGATGGAACAATTCTGATTTCCGCAACATATAAAATGTGTTCCAACAACACGTTTTATGTGTTTGGGTTTTATTTTTAAACAAATTGTCACTTAAAATCTACATTCTGATTTTAAATGTAAGGACAAACAGAAATTTCAAGGAAAACTCCTGGGGAACGTCTGGACACAAAATATGTGTTAGAAAAACTAGTCCAGGTTTCATTGGGAGCTTTGGTGTTTTGAGAATAGGCTGTGCATAATGCTGAGAATAATTGTTTGTATTTGTGGGGTTGGTTCAAGCTCTCTGGCAGTGTGGTTGTGGAAGCAGGTCAAGGGTTGCTGGCAATAGTTAATCTTCCTCTAATCCTGTTAGGAAGTGAAAGGAAACAACAGCTTTAGACTTTTAGCTTACCTCCAACTCCCCCTTCTGGGCCACCTGAGCATCTTTTCTAGTCATCTGATGAGCCCCAAGTGGATGAAGCCTTGCTGTGCAATGCACCACTAGCCAAGTCTGTGTTTGGTCACTGTCCTAGGTGCTGAAGCCCCACTTTGTATGTGAGCCAAATGGGACATAAAGGCATCTTAGCATAAAACTGTCTGCAGAGCAAATAGAGATTAATAGAACACATTTTAAGGTGCTTGTGATGTAAATATTTTAAGACTGTAGTCCTGCAAGTATTACAGTGTCTTAAGATATTACTGTAAACCTAATCTCAAGTAAGAAATCCCTGAATCCTAATCTCAGTCACCATGGAGGATCTTAGGGATAAGTGAATTTGACAAGAGGATAGATAGATAGATAGATAGATAGATAGATAGATAGATAGATAGATAGATAGATAGATAGATAGATAGATAGATAGATAGATAGATAGATAGATAGATAGATAGATAGATAGATAGATAGATAGATAGATAGATAGATAGATAGATAGATAGATAGATAGATATAGACTCAGTATTTTTTCTTATGACAGATATTGTCTGTTTTATTGTTCTGACTAATATGGCACTTGTCTTGGACTTAAACCGACACAGTGATGTGATGAAGCATCTTCTAAAATCAAGTGAAAGTGTCCGATAATAGGATGGTTACCAAGATAAACTGAGTGATCATCTGGTCATGTGATCTCAACTTATTGGCCCTTAATGAGATGACCAATCCACGAATAGCTTTTATTAGGTAAAAATCTTTTGCTTGAGGTTTCATTTCTTATTTGTGTACATGCTTTTAAACATATTTCTCAAAATTACTATTCATTTCTTTCAGTGTTAAAACTTTTAGTGATGTAAATGACTAAAACCACACTACGCGTTAAAGAGGATCCACTGGGATTATTTATACAGGGATGCCATCTGCCGACAGGCTGGAGAACTACCCTTGCTGGAGTACATTATGCGTCGAAGACGCTGATTGGTCAGTTGTCACAAGGTGCGCGCAGCTACTCCCCTCTTGTCTGTAAATTGTAAGTCAGGTTTGTTGTTAAAAATGACGCTGATTATGAACGCTTGCGCTTTTTTATGCAAAGTCCTCACTCTACCGCTGCACGTTGCGGAGCTGATTGGACTTTTGTCTTTCTACAAACGCGTGTTTCCTATAATCGTCTATAAAGTAACGTTCTCGTACAATGCCAAAATGAACGAGAAGAAAAGGGAACTATTTCGAAACCTGTCCAAATTCTACCCCACTAAAGGCTCTCTGCGCATCTTGGAAGTGGGCTGCGGGTCCGGAGCGAACTTCGAGCACTATCCGACGGGCTGCAGGATCACATGCATCGACCCCAACCCGCATTTCCAAAACTACCTGGAGGAAAGTATGGCGAAAAACGACCACCTCGTATATGACAGCTTCATAGTGGCGTCGGGGGAGAATCTACAGGCGGTGGAGGAAAACTCAGTGGATGTTGTGGTGTGCACACTGGTTCTGTGTTCAGTCAAAGATACGCCGAAAGTTCTGCAAGAAGCAAAGAGAGTTCTAAGGCCTGTAAGTTTATGACAGTCTCCGCCCAGGTGGAACCATGATCTCGTATCATTTGGTCTTGTTTCATTTCATAAATTGTCATCTTATCACTCCCAATCCATCAAGGAGTAGGCCTACTTAAAGATTACAATTATTACATCTGAGATGAAAGGTAACAGCATTACGTAACCACATGTAGATCGCCGTTTGCAGTGATAATCCCATTAGAAACAACTGTTTGTTTTAGGGCAAATGTCACCAGAGTAGTAGACAACTGTTTTCAAGCTTTTAAATACTATATCCTTGTAAACTAAACACCTTGTCTTCGAATACACAATTTTGGGTTGAGTAATATAAATATTGTACTTTTTTTGTTCTTCAGGGAGGAGCATTTTTCTTCCTTGAACATGTGGTGTCAGACCCCTCAACCTGGACTTACTTTTTTCAACATGTTCTTCAGCCATTCTGGTAATTTAAAAAAAACAATTTATCAAATCAATCACCATTATATTTGACTTATGTTCTCCAATGAATTTTAATGACTTGTATAAGTTAAGTTATTCATCTCAAGCTAGAGTACATAGGCCTATGTAAAATTATGGGGACATTCGTATAGTGGAAAAATGGATGCATTCTAATTGAAATGACAGATTTTGTGAATGTAAAAGCTAAAAGACTATGTTGGAGCTTTGAAAAACGTGGGGTTGGTTAAATTCCTGCATAAATATATCAAAAATAAATATTCACTCTAGGGTGACCACCAGTCCCGAAATTGTGAGCTTTGCAAGACGTAATCAGTGTCTAACATTTCAATTATGTCATGTTGTTGCTAAAGCGGGAAAATAACCAACTAACGCATTCTAATAGAGTGATTTTTCTGCTGATGACGTCTGCCTGGATGAAGCAAAGGAATGTGGACCTCATCAAAACTCATTTAATATAGCTACACCAGCCAGGACAACAAAAACATACAAATTCATGATGCACTGAATCCGGTAAAAACGCATTTATTGTTTGCATAGTCTAATAAAGTAGTTGCTACTTAAGAATTAATTTTAGTATAAAATGTGATTTTTACCAACAGTATACTAGCCTGTTATTCAGTTCATTGGCCTATATTTAGTAGACTAAATAGGTCCAGTACAGTCAATTACATTATATCACAATTACATTGTATCTGCAAATTGATTGCCAGTCATAGAGCCAGTCACAATTACCTAAGCTTATTGACGATTTAAAACATTATCATCCAACGTGATGGGAAACGGGCATTCCAACTAATGTTAATCTATATTTACAATTTATCTCACAAATGTGTCCAGCATTATCACATATACTGTCCTGCAACAGAGCAATAACCAGGTGGTCACCCTAATTCACTCTCCCACTGCTTATCACCTACACTGGAGGTCATGGGTTTATTTGGAGAGGGAGAGAGAGAGGGGAATTGGTTTGATTATAAAACCAGAATGAGTCCATTTACAATACTGGTAACAAATAATATGACCACAATAGAGTAGGGATGTCTATAACTACTTGTATGTTTTTCAGGTACTATTTTGGCGATGGCTGTCAGACAACCCGTGCTACTTGGAAGCACATCGAGGCAGCTGGCTTCTCTGACCTGGAGCTACGCCACATCCAAGCTCCTCTGTTTTTTATGATCAAACCACACATTGCTGGTTATGCCATCAAATAATAAGTATACATTTTGCCACAAAAGAAGAACCTTCTAAAGGTTTTATCAAGCATGTTTCTTTCAGTAAGCATGTTTCTTTCATTTCACCATCTACTTTTAAATGTGTTTGTATGAGAGAGCAATTTGTAATAAACCATAAAATAGAATGTTTTTGTTTGACTTGCAAAGACTTCATCTCAAAACATTTTATATTGTATATGACTGTACCTTGTTGCATGGGTATAATGTCTGTGAAACATATCACTATCAAGATGGTACAAAAATAGAGGTAGGTAAAACAATAAAATACTTTCATCTATAAAAACAGACTTTAGGAGGTTAATGCAGGGCAGCTTTTTTGATGTTGTGGTTTATGCATAAAAGAGCCATACAGCCATCTAGTGATTAGGAGGAATGTGTGTTACATACAAAACTAACTTTTTAGATCCACATCCTTTGGAAGTGTTTACAAACAGAATTTGCTTTTGCAGGACAGAAAACATCATCTTATCGACATGTACACAACATGAACCAGCTACAGTGTTTGAGGGCAGGTCAAAGGAGATGTTGCTTTCAGGCAGCCAATGAAGACCATATCGAGGGCTTGGAGCCAGAGGGGCGTAAGTGGCTTTTGACAAACTTTACAGAAGAGACAAAACAAAATTTTGACCACACTTCAATCACCTGTATCATTAACCTTAAACCACAAACATTGCAACCACAGGCATACTTACATGAATGAGTATTTAAGTAAAAAATGTATGGCATATTAACACAATGAACATGTTCTAAAACATTTTTAAAATAAAAAAATATGTCAAAAACGTCAGATACGCCTTTTTGGCACCAAACATTTCCAAGTCTTCTATGGACATATGGGCGTATCTGCTGAACAATGCAGAAAATAATTGATTAAAAGGGGAATTGATTGAATAATTAACACTTGAATCACACTTGAACAAGTAATTATTTTTCATTTAACTCATTCATTCATTTTTTTTTTTTTTTTTCACCTTTCCATTCTGGGCATCTGCTGAACACTACAGACTCTAATTAAAGTCACTGAACTTGCTAAACACACTTCTGATGGGCAATTCATGAGTTGTTCAATTGATTTCATTACAATTCTTTTTTTTTCAATACTCTATTCAATTGACAGTTCTCTCGTGTTCTTTTTGCTTTTTAGTTCTTTTCCCTCACCTTCCTTCCTGGAACATGAATGCCATGTGAATTAATGTAGCCTTGGCCAGAATTTCTTAACCTTTTACGTTGGTTTCTTTTCCAATTTTCAACATCTCTCTGTCTTTTTCTTCCTTTTTTTGGTGTGTTGGCATCCTCTTCCTGGCCACTTTCAACCCCTCCCTCCTAAACAGGCTCAATGTCTACTGTCTCAGTCCCTCGATCTTCTTCTGTCTCCATGTGTCCCTCATCAATTGCATGATCTGTGTCCCTGCCTGTCTCTCTTTCCCCATCTTCTGCTGTCTCCATGTGTCCCTCATCTCTCTCCCTCATCTCATGCTGTGTCCCTAAATTATATAATTAATATTTATTAATATCCTACATGAATGCCCTGATACTAATCATTCGGGGTAAGGATTAGATAAGGTAATGTTCTAACTTATTTTCTATGCAATTCAGAACTCACTTCCTCCATCTGTCTCCATGTGTCCCTCAAGTTGATCTCTCTTCCTCACCTCATGTGGCTGTGTCCCTTAATGATTAACACATTAATATTTATTAATATAATATCCTACATGAGTGCCCTGAATCTATTAGTTCAAGGCTAGGGTAAAGTAGATTATGAAAAAGTTCAAAAGAATATTCTCTGTCAGAACACAGGCACAGTTAGCCAGATCAGACCAAACCAATGGGATTAACGTTAGCCATGCTAGGCTAGGCTAACAAGGTAAGGCTCTCAAGGCATGATTATGTCTTACTGTCATCACTCTTGTGAGGAAATGCATTCAAACAACTCTGACTCATCTTCAACTTCTTCAAAATACACTCACCTAAAGGATTATTAGGAACACCATACTAATACTGTGTTTGACCCCCTTTCGCCTTCAGAACTGCCTTAATTCTACGTGGCATTGATTCAACAAGGTGCTGAAAGCATTCTTTAGAAATGTTGGCCCATATTGATAGGATAGCATCTTGCAGTTGATGGAGATTTGTGGGATGCACATCCAGGGCACGAAGCTCCCGTTCCACCACATCCCAAAGATGCTCTATTGGGTTGAGATCTGGTGACTGTGGGGGCCATTTTAGTACAGTGAACTCATTGTCCTGTTCAAGAAACCAATTTGAAATGATTCGAGCTTTGTGACATGGTGCATTATCCTGCTGGAAGTAGCCATCAGAGGATGGGTACATGGTGGCCATAAAGGGATGGACATGGTCAGAAACAATGCTCAGGTAGGCCGTGGCATTTAAACGATGCCCAATTGGCACTAAGGGGCCTAAAGTGTGCCAAGAAAACATCCCCCACACCATTACACCACCACCACCAGCCTGCACAGTGGTAACAAGGCATGATGGTTCCATGTTCTCATTCTGTTTACGCCAAATTCTGACTCTACCATCTGAATGTCTCAACAGAAATCGAGACTCATCAGACCAGGCAACATTTTTCCAGTCTTCAACTGTCCAATTTTGGTGAGCTCTTGCAAATTGTAGCCTCTTTTTCCTATTTGTAGTGGAGATGAGTGGTACCCGGTGGAGTCTTCTGCTGTTGTAGCCCATCCGCCTCAAGGTTGTGCGTGTTGTGGCTTCACAAATGCTTTGCTGCATACCTCGGTTGTAACGAGTGGATATTTCAGTCAAAGTTGCTCTTCTATCAGCTTGAATCAGTCGGCCCATTCTCCTCTGACCTCTAGCATCAACAAGGCATTTTCGCCCACAGGACTGCCGCATACTGGATGTTTTTCCCTTTTCACACCATTCTTTGTAAACCCTAGAAATGGTTGTGCGTGAAAATCCCAGTAACTGAGCAGATTGTGAAATACTCAGACCGGCCCGTCTGGCACCAAGAACCATGCCACGCTCAAAATTGCTTAAATCACCTTTCTTTCCCATTCTGACATTCAGTTTGGAGTTCAGGAGATTGTCTTGACCAGGACCACACCCCTAAATGCATTGAAGCAACTGCCATGTAATTGGTTGATTAGATAATTGCATTAATGAGAAATTGAACAGGTATTCCTAATAATCCTTTAGGTGAGTGTAGGATTCATCAGTTTGTTTCATAATATTCATCAAAATCGTTTCTGCCTCAGACAGTTCCATGTCTGCAGTTGTGTCAGCCATTTTGAATGCAGTTTTAGGGCACCAACTACACTTACGCCCTTCTGGCTCTGAACAAAAATGTGGGTCCTACATGTATTTTTCAGAGCCAGAAGGGCGTAAGTGGACTTACGCCCTTCTGGCTCCAAACATTACTCACACTTTTGTGTTAGGTCTGTATTGTTTTGTTGCTTTATTCAATACAGTTTGATCTCAGATAGGTCTTTTTGGCACAACTAGATAGAGCTCATCAAGACCTTTAATTTGATATATAGAACTCATTTTCGCCCAAAATGCCACTTACGCCCCTCTGGTTCCAAGCCCTCGATATGCAAATGTGTTACCGCGTTATATCAGATCACGGAAGTGAGGCTGGAATTCCCGACAATTCGTTTAGGCGGGTCGGAGTCGATTCTTTCTTTTGGGAGACAATAACTTTTTTTCGAGCACTTTCGACTTTACAACTTTGCAAACCGATTACATTCACAGACAGCTATATTACACACTGTGTGAAAGGTAATATTCAAAAAAGCATAATAGGGGCACTTTAAGCATAAAACCTTGACTTCATACTAATATACTTAGGTAATATACCCTGGTTTCACAGACAGGGCTTAGATTAAGCCAGGATTAGGCCTTAGTTCAAGTGCTCTCTTTCCATGAAATGCGAAATACCTTTAGTTTTGTTTTCTTCCAATTGCGCTCCATTTTTCTGGCTGCTCTCTTAAGGGCCTGAGTGTGCTCATTGTACCATGGCGTTGGACTATTTTCTTTAATCTTCTTTGAAGCGCAAAGGAGCAACTGTGTCTAAAGTGCTGGAAAAGAGTGTTTCTGTCGCAATATCTAGTTCTTCTAAGCTATCTGGGATGTTGAGATGATGAAACTGATCAGGAAGATTATTTATAAAGCCATCTTTAGTGGCAGAAGTGATAGGTCTAACATATTTGTAAAACGGAGTCGGCTTTGCAGCCTTGGCTAAATGTTTACACGAGACTAGATAATGATCTGAAATGTCATCGCCCTGCTGTCGAATTTCAATAGCATCAACATTGATTCCGTGTGGTAATATTAGATCTAGAGTATGATTACGACAATGAGTAGGTCGTGACACGTGTTGTCTAACTCCAATAGAGTTAAGAATGTCTTTAAATGTCAATCCCAATGCATCTTTTTCGTTATCTACATGTATATTAAAATCACCAACAATTAGGACTTTATCTGCAGCAGTACTAACTCTAATAGAAAGTCAGCAAATTCTTTGATAAAGTCTGTATGGTGGCCTGTACACAGTAGCCAGCACAAATCTCAAATGTGATTTATCATTTACACTAGATATTGTTACATTAAGCACCAACACTTCAAAATAATTATATTTGAAAATAGACTTTTTAGTAGTTCTGAAAATATTACTATAAATTACAGCAACACCTCCCCATTTGCCTTTCAGATGAGGTTCATGTTTATAACAGTAATTCTGGGGGGTGGACTCATTTAAAGTAATGTAATTGTTTGGTTTTAGCCTGGTTTCTGTCAAACACAGCACATCTAGGTTATAGTCTGTAATCATATCATTAACAATAAGTGCTTTTGAAGTAAGGGATCGAATATTCAGCAACCCGAGCTTTATCATTTGTTCATTTGTATTATGTCTGTTTTTTATTTGTTGAACATCAATTAAATTTTTACCCTTAGATGGGTTTGGAAGTTTTTTGTATTTCCTAATTCGGGGAACAGACACAGTCTCTATATGATGGTATCTAGGTGAAAGAGTCTCTATGTGATGGGATTTATCTGACCTTGGTGACGTGAGACAGTCTGCTTCCTGACCTGAGCCCCAGATTGTCATGTTTGAGCTCTAAGACTATGTGCCATTATTACTAGAGAGAAGAGCAGCACCATCCCAGGAGGGATGAATACCATCTCTTTTCAACAGGTCAGGTTTGCCCCAAAAACTTTTCCAATTGTCTATGAATTCTATATAATTTTGCGGACACCACTTAGACAGCTAGCCATTGAGTGAGGACAGTCTACTAACTATCTCAT